AGGATTACAGATGATTTGTGGTCAAAACAAAGCAATGAACTTAAGATACAGTGGCAAGAAACATGGGAAAGAAAAATGAAGTAGAACTCCAGCAGTGAAATCCTGACTCTTGACAAGTTGCCCTAGAACGAAGCCAAAATTTCCCCTCACGCTGCAAGGGTGGTTCTCCCATCCCTCCACACTTGTGCTTGATGCAAGGAACAAACATTTGGGCATCACCTGGGGCCTTTTTGACCAGGGATGGGTTTGGGGGTAGTGAGGATGGAAGGGGAGAGGACAGGGAAGTGGAGAAGTCATTGGGAAGAGCAGGCAGATGAAAGGCAGCAGCAGAGGTTAAGCACTGGCAGAGCCAGCAGCTGGGAGAAATTGCAGCTCTGTGCTTGGCAGAAAGTAGGGCGGCTACTGGAGAGCACCCAAGATATGCCCTTGATGTTCAGAGCTGTTCCCAAGCTCAAGTTCACAACTGCAGTTTGAAGTTGCTCTTCTGACATCAATATTACCAGGAAGGCCAAGTGGTGACGCCAAACACCTCTCATGTTCCCATCCAAAGGACATCTCACTCTAAGTCCTGCCAGGCAAATGGAGATATTTTAATGCCTGTGGCTAGAAAATCCAGCCACTGACTTTGAGAGGATGGCACCACACTACTGAAAACCATGTCACCAGGACTCAGCCTCCTGCAGGGCCAGGGAGCAGGTCCTGCCTGCACAGTCTAAAAACGAAGAGAATGTTTCACGCTATCAGCCTGACAGTCTCTTGTGAACCGATCGTTCATTTCCCAGCAATGGTATTTTCCTACATATTCACACAGCTTCACAGAAGGTTACTCTGGATATGCCTGTACTGGGCGGTGAGAGATTTTGGAAGTTCAGAAATGATGATGGACTTTGCAAACTGACAACCTAAATCCTCTTCTAACGGCTCCTAACTGTGGCTACAAATACCCTTAACCACACTGCCAATTGCATTTCCCAAACGCAGGTAGGTGTGTGCTTTTCTGTCAGTACCTTATGCAGGGGAGTAAAAACTAATCAGCACTTAGGAAAACTGTTGTGCCTCCGACATTTGCACAATTCCTCCGTAAGATGCCAGTGAACATCCATCACGCTGGGGGTACACTGTCTCCTCAAGTTTTCATAAGCTGCTGTCTGGGAACATTCATTTAAAACAAAACCATGTGTACTTACAATAAGTGAGACGGCTCTCCGAGTTGTTATCTGCATGTTTTATCTCTCTGGGAAGAAAGGGGAGGGTTAAGAACCTCCTGGAAAGATCCCTGCTAGTGCAGATGAGCACGGAGTACTTAGGACTCAGACCTTCACCTCCAGCACTGAAATGAAAACACGGCTGTTGTGTGGGAGAAAAAGCAAGCTGCTAAGGGACCCCAAGAGTCCCCACCAGATCCCTCTGGAGAAAACAAACAGACTGTCCGAGACTTGCAGCATCCTTCAACCCTCCCATGCAGCCACGAGACGTGCCCATCACCCTGCGTTGCCTCTGAGAGGGACCAGAGGAGAGCCGAGAGACCAGATTTCAGGCCAGCAAGGAGAGAATTAGAAAATGAGGTTAGGAAAGAGCTAGATGGATCCCAGTAAAAGCCACTAGATCCCCTCTTTCTCCTGCGCAATGCTCCACAGGAGTCACAATCCTGAACACTGGGCAGCAATCTAGATATCAGACATGTCTAAGTCGATCAAATTTCTTCCCGGAAAGGGCTGTCAGGCATTGCAAGGGGCTGCCCAGAGAAGTGGTGGAGTCACCAACCGTGGAGGGATTTAAGAGACGTGGATGTGGTGCTTAGGGACATGGCTTAGTGGTGGGCTTGGCAGTGCTGGGTTAACAATTGGACTTGATGATCTCACAGGTCCTTTCCAAACTAAACGATTCTATGGTTGTACGATCTTGATTCACACGAGAGAGACTGTGCTGACCTTTTCTGCGGGGTGGAGCCGCAGCCTCAGCCGAAGCTGGGGCTAAGTCCCAGGCAAACCAAGGGGACGAGGCAGGCTCCGTACGCGTGGCTGGGGCCCAAAATCCACAAAGACCTCCCAGGACTCGTAAGAGAGCTATGAAGATGCTACACAGGGTTACTCAACCATCTGTCAGGGACACAAGGTTTCACAGAAGGATACAAGAAAAACTACTAATGGGTTTAGACTTACAACTGAACTCCAGTTCAGCATTTCATTTGTACATGTTAACGACTCAGGGGCACAAGCATAAACATTTGGCCAGCTGTCTAAGCTAGATGGCTTGTTGTCTTGTTTATATTTTGCACTTACGATTGTTATGACTAAAAATCAAGCAGAGGTACAAGATCAGTTCACTAAAAAAAAGAGCTAAATATTCAAGAAATGGGTCTTTATCACTACTTCTTTACCCTGAGATTGTCACTCTCCGTTGAAACAAAACAAAACCTTAAATAGCATTTGGATTTCTCATCCCAAACCTGAACAGAAACCTAGAAACAAGACAGGAAAATTCTCCAAAATGGAAACCTCTCACAGATTTTGTTATCCTAGAGAAAAAAAAGATCCCCAGAGGAAAAAAAAATCTCCGAATTTGTGAAAGATCAGGCAGTTCCAAATTCTACAAGATGAATCAGTGCTGGTAATACTCCTAGAGCAAGTATGAATGCCTGTGTGCACACACACAGACAGACACTTGCGGAAGGTTTTTAAATGCAGGCTAATTTCAGCTGTAGCCAAGCAATGACGAGCATTTCCACAGATGATGATTTGGTATGTACGTATTAGCAAAAGCAGATCAAGGTAAGGTTATGAGACCACATAAACCAGTGCCTCCATTCCCATTGAAAGCAGTCGGGGTTTGGGTCAGAAGGACCGGAGAAAGGACTCTTGGGCAAGGACAGAATTCAGTGTGTGAGGAATGGACTTGAGAAAGTTTGCAGACCTTATCAATGCAACAGGACGAGGGAAGAGCCAGCTCAGAGCCTACAAAACCTATGGACTGCTCAGAATTTCTTCTATGGAGAGAGCAGATAAAATTTTTGCTCATTTGAAGTAAACAGCAAAATGCTCGGATGCTTTAATGAAGTCACGATTCCACTTCACAGCAGCCGTTTCCTATATCCTGAAGCTCTGTCTTTCCTATAGCATTTACAAACCCATATGAGCATGGGTGCTCCTTTTTGTCCCCCAGAACACCCTTGGAAGTGCACAGAATAATCTTCTATTGCCTGAATCTCTTCTACTACTCAGAGGAAAAACAAGACTTTCACTATATATTCTAGGTAAACACATAGATTTCAAAAAACATGTGTTTCTGCCCTGGTCCACAAGGTATCAAGCTCTCAGCAAAAGAGAGGTCCAGGTCAAAAGCTCAACTGCCAACTAAATGAAGTCTGAAGGATCTCACATTAGTCCTGGACTGAAGGCTACTGTGTGTGAGTGGTGTGCCACCATCCACCATAGTGGAACTTTGCTTTCCACACAATACCCAACATTTTTTGAACACAGCAAACAAATGAGCAGATTGCTCTAATTCCCTCTAATAGCCTTTCTCCCCTAAATTCTGTTTCTCTAGCCTTTAATCTGTTATCAGGGTACAATTCTTTCTTTCAGGAAAAGTGGCTAGTACTTCTGTATTTCATTCACATGCAAAAGATACTCTAATAAGAAGATCCATCTCATTATTCTCCCACTGGAACCTCTCCAAAAGGGGTCCTTGTAACTTCAACGTTAAGAACCTGACCATGTGGCAAAATTACACCTCGGTGGGGCACTTCATCCCCTGACAACAGAGCAGTCAACACGGGACCACCGCAGCATGATCGTGGGATGAAGCTGGGTTAGGCCTCCCTACAACAAGAAGCTGTTGTTGAAGCAAAAATGAGCATCTTCCCGTTCCTCAGCAAAGCAGAGAACAGGTTGGTCAGGATGGCCCTCGAGGAAATGTTCCTCATGTACTAGTTTTGCCTTGTGACTGTGTCATTAACTGATTTGCTCATACTGAGTGACTGCAGCTACAGATGGACAGAAAAAGATGAACACAAACCATACGTGATAGAAGAAAGGAACTAAATACCATCTGACTGAAAACGACAATACTGGAGAAAAAGGAAATTGCCATCTATGTTACAGAGAACTCGTGAAGTACACGGACCTACATGGAAGTATTTTCACTGTCAGGAAAGCAAATAAACTGGCAAGCGTGTAATGAGATTGGGCGTAGAGGCACAAAGAGTTACAGGCTGTCGTTAATTATGGAGGTATGAATCGTAAAGCCATGTGACCTGGGAGAACAAACTCATGTATACCTATTGCCTTTGTGGACCCTGTTCTTCATTGTGAAATGTTATTTTCCTTGGCAGAATTGAAAACATGCAATCAAACTCATTAGAATGAGAGATGCAGGCTGTGTAAAGGGTAATAGTTTCTGAAAACCTGGTCTTATTTTTAAGATGTATTTCAGAAGGATTTCTTTACAGCATTCCCAATAGGAGCTCAACTATTACACTTAAACCCCATACTTCTCATTACCTGAGATGGTCATCTGCCTAGAAATTAATTTTCTGCCATTATCACAGCTGAACTGAAAACATTAAATACAGCTTGCAATCGACTTACTTGCGTTTTCATACAGTTATGAGTAACAACTCTCAGCCATGCTATCCTCTTTTGCTATCCAAATTGGAAAAGGGGTTCTTAAAAGGCACTCAGTATTGGTTAACCACTATTTTTAGGCGGTCCATCCTGACTCATGCTAGGAGCAAAGGAGGAGTTTGTCCGGAGTGGCAGATTCAGAGGGCTGGTATTTCACACAGGGACACTTGACTGACCACTGGCCCTCACCTGGCGCACGTGAGGGAGGAGGTGGCAGCTTTCACATCAGCCAGGCCTGCATCAAAGCTATAAGGGTCTGCAGCTTTAGCACTGATTACCAGCAGTGAGTAAATACTGAGTGCCTTTGAGGGTCCCCAAAAGAAATACAATTGCCACAGCACACTGATATTAAACACTGAAGAAAGGGTTTCATACCTTAAATTCCTCCAAGATTTTGTAATTTTTCCCATGATATTCACAAAAGTTTTTCACTTCTTTGCATTCTGGACAGCATCCATTGTGTTCCACTTTTGTACACTTTGGGTGAATTTTAGGGCATTCTGGTTGATCGCAAACAGGTCCATCCTCAGTACAGACACAGGGACAGTTGGAATGTCCCGGGAAAAAACGTTCTCCCAGTTTGTACACAAAGCCACTGTCATCCACACAGCCCTTCCCTCGGTAGTCATCAAAGATCAGATTGTCATTACTGGAGGTCTGGTCCCCTTCATCGGCGGGGTAGTCTTCATGATTGATGGCAGCTGGAGTGACCAAAGCAGGGATTACAAACAGAAGTATCCAGGCTTCATGGATATGAAGAGCCATCCCCCTCCTCAGCTTCTCCATGGGGTCTCAATGCCAGATAGAAACAGCTGCTTCCATAGGGAGACCAGTGTTGTGGTCTGTAAACAAATATTTTGAAGTAAGAACAAACTCAAAATTCTAAGGAATAGTGACTTACAAAGGCCATACTTTCCACCAGCACCCCAGAATAAATCAGTGCCTTCAAACTGCATGGATAACTATCCCCATTTCATTTGAATTAAGCCTCAACTATTGTTAAAGAGAATAAAGCATATGAAATACGCAAATTAGACACACATGCCTGTAAGCATATGCCCACAAAATATCCCTAGAGAAACAGTGGCTCACAGCATAATCTAATTTTCACTTTCCTCATTGGTGCAGTTGAGTTTTGTGATGCACCAGCAGTTACCACTAGCTGCCACGTGAAATCCCGTGGTGATGGGCAGCGCAGAGGGACTTGAACCCAAGTTTAGGCATGGTCTTAACCTCCTGCTGCAGCCACCGCCCCTCCGTGCTACGTACGGCGCACAGCCCACTTCATTAAACTGAGGTGGGAAACCCGAGTTGAAAAATGAGAAAAGCATAATCCATAGGGAGGTCTGCGTCCCGTATGAAAGGTGGTGCTGGGTCTGCGAGAGGTGGGATGCTGCAGAATTTTGTATATGGTTCTGAAGAGGAAGAGGGACTACCTGGGCTACCAACACAGCCCAGTCTGCGCCAGGTCCGTATAATCCCGACAGAAGCAAGGACGTAATTCATCTTCGCCATTATTCAGCATTTCAGTAATTCCCGGAGGGAAACGCAGACAGCAGGATATTAAATGCCTGTGTAATGCACGGAGCCACTGAAATGGGTTTGTCTGCTTAAGCTGGAGCCTTTCCTAAAACTTGGGGAGCGATGCAGCATGGCCTGACCTTTGGAGAGCTCCACTTAAGCGACGGAGCCAAGGACTGACCCAGAGAGGGAGAGCAGCTTTAAACTGGCCCCCGGGAGAGTCAGCTCCAGGCGAAGGCTCCACGTGTGTCTCTCTTGGGACGTGCTACCGGCTGCCAGCGGTACCTCACCACTGCCACCAATACGCCGTCCTGCCGGCGCGTCCGCCAACAGGCAGGGCAACCCCAGCTGCAAAATGGTTTCTGACCTCTCCTAAGGGAACTGGGCAAAGTGCTACAGGAAACTTTTCAAGGAGATGAAATATTAACATTGCGTGGATGGAGAACGATGGAGATTGTTGCTGGCACACACCAAAAATGGACTGTTTGGATGCATGTGTCATTCCTTCTCCTCCTCCATTCCCATAGAGTGCATACACAGATACACACAGGATACACAAACATGCACTAACCTACACATGCAGACGTACACCCCCCTCACCCCTCTGGGAGGTAATTTTAATGTATCGGGATTTTTGGTGGACTGCAGATGTTCAACAATTAATTCTCCCTTAATTGAAGCAAAAACAAAGCAGCAGCAGGAGGAGAAAGCTTTAACCCTAGAGAAGCAGCTAAGGGATCCTGTTGACAAAGCAGTTTTTCCAAAGCCACAACAGAGGGAGACACCGGATATTACACAAGCTTTATCGAATTCAAAAGATACCTTCTTAAATGAAGCACTAGCTACACTGCCATCACAAGAACTAGGCACGGAGTTACTACTACCAGCAGTACGTAGTGTAACACGTTGTTGGGGGATCGGGTGATTCACGCAGATAGGGCTGCTGTACACACAGAGCACAGAATCTTGCCCACCTAAACGCTACAGGTAGGTTGGCACATTGCAGGTCGGTGGGCGTTTGGGGGTGGGGTGGGGGGCCAAAGGCAGGAGCAAATGAAGTAATTCCTGTCAGAGGTAATGTGAAACAGCCAAGAGAATGGGTTGAAGTTTAATGAGGAAGCTCTCCAAATGAAAAAGAAACCAACAGGAAAGTTCTCGGGAGATCATAAATGAGAGCAGTGTATCTTCCCACAGCCTGTAGCCATCCGAGGTGTCCCACAGCAACTCGCGAGCAGCCGGCTCCGCGGCGATCCTGGGAATCTGACAGACTGCAGGCGTCTTGCACGGGCAGATTTCAACAAGTAAACAAACGCTGCTCAGCTCCGAATTAGTTTACAGCTGAACTTTTCCATCATTTCTCATCACGAGAGAGGCCAGGAGCGTAGGTAAGTCTCCGAGTAAAACGTTTCCACCTGCCTCCCCTCTCCCCAAGTGAGGAAGTGACACTTACCTGATGAGGCTCGATCTGGAAGCTGAAAGGGGTCACAGGCCAACATGGGCTGAAAGGTTAGAAACAGATTAGTCAAAGCAGTTCCTCCTCATCACATTTTCAGTCTTGACTCACGGACAATCCCTTTTCCTCC